ATTCTTCTAGAAGTAGTTTCAAACGGCAGAAGTGGGTCCGGACGGACAAAACGCAAACAATAGCACATTTTTTTTAATTCTTAAAAAATGCGCTAAAAATGTACAGTAAAATTTCTGCGGTTTATCAATTACGAATTATACTTTTTTAACATGCAAAATTTAGAGACTTTAGAGACCAAATATGAAAAATAGAGACTTTTAGAGACCAGCATTAAAAAAAGAGACCAATGTCTAAAAAAGAGACCATTTGCGAACCCTGCACTAGGGATGATAAAAAAAGATTAAAAAATTTAATAAAGGTCCAAATTCAAAAACATACAAAAATTTTTTTAAATTTATTGGAAAAACCTTTTGAATCTTTTTGAACCAATATTAAATTTATTTGAGTCTCTTTACTGTTATATTTTACCTTTTTAAAATAAAATATACGGGTGTTCCATTAAAAAAAAAGAAGTTAGGCCCTATAACTTTTTTACCTGACCCCGTTAACATATTTTGAAAATGGTAGATTATTCAACAATTATAAAGTTGTTGTAATAAACATTTTTCTGCATATTCTTTAACTAAGAAAATATAGGGTCATCCTGAAATTAGCAATTTTTGTTTTCCTCCCGTATGCTTTAAGAGAGTGCAGGTTTTCAAGTTTTTATTTAATCATTTTAAGTTTGACCCAAAAAGACCACATAAAAGCCTATATTACTTTTTTGATGGCACCAACAATTTACCCTATTACAATGTCGAAAATTGTACACCCTGTACCTAGTTAAATAAAATTAAAGCTACAATACCCAATTTCACGAGCAATAAATTCCCATGTTTTTCGCTTTTAAACAAAAACTTTTCACTTTTTAATAACCAAGTTTGTCCACTTTGATAAAATGGCGAAAATTGATACTTTCAACCTGAAAGAACTGCACATTGTGTCAGTTCATTATGTTGTATTCAATAACTCTATCTATAGTGATTGAATTAAATGCATTTAAAAATGTAAGTAGGGAATACATACTTTAAATAATTGTAGATACACTTAAATACATTTAAATCACATAAATACAATAAATATTTATAAATATCCATAAATGCAAATTAAATACCATAAATACGGCAAATAGAAGTGTATTTGTACATAAGTGTTTTAGGAGTGTCCCACCCCTCGCCACACTCTACAGGATAGTGTTGCTAAGTTCAACGTTCCTGTTTAAAAAATTATCGTGAAAGTGCTCACACCAATACTTTTTGTGGAAGAAAGTACTATTAGAGAGTCTGTGGGGTATGGAAGGCAAAGGGAAGGCACAATCTCTTTATGGGGAACAGTTTGCCATTTTTTATAGCTACCTTTTATAATAAAGATACATCTTCATGATCTTAATGCTATGCATGGCAAGTAAACCACCCTGTATACTTTCAAATTTCAAAAACTGAAATGGCAACTGAGCAGTTACAACTTGACAAAACAAACAAAACTTTCCAAGGCCAACCAAAGGTAAACGGATTAAGAGATACTTACACGAAATTGTAAATCTTTAGTAGTCGATATTACACCGGGATCACCAAGCCACGCTTTCAGAAAGCAGTACCATAACGCACCGGAACTCGATAGAAATGTTAAAGTGAGAAAAATTGCAGTATGCGGCATGATATAAATAATCCATGTAATGTATATCCATATTTTGGTCGCTAAATAAATACTGAGTGGTAAAAGTGCCATGAGTCGATCGTCGTAAAACACTTGACCAATAAAATGTAAAACTATGTAGAGACATACTAAGAGAAATATTTTGATTAATATTAAAACGTTTGCACTCAAGATTAGACCGGCTATGTAAAAAGAAATAAAAGGAGTGCCCACCATGCACCACCATTTTACCCGCTGGAAACAATTTGTTAACGAACAAATTTCAGAAGGGGTCGTTACCTTGTCTTTAGAAATTCGAATGAACATATTCTGGGAGCGGTTCGAGTTCATCGCTTCTCTAATGCGATCACCAACTTTTGCACCTATCCAAACAGACCCACTGCAATTTTGTAATAAAGCTAATGGTGTATCGCCTCTGTGGTTCGGAATATCTAGACTGGCATTAGACTAGAAATTGTAATGCAAAAATTATAGACATGCACAATGAGAATTACCTGTATTATTAACGTGGAAATGGCAGTAGTATTTCTCGATAATATAGCCCAATGTAACGCCGTATTGCCTTGCGTACTGTCGGTTAGCTTTGTCGATGCGCCTAACGTCAACAATAGACGGGTAGGATCTAAGCTGCATACTTTCCAACACGACCACATTAACGGTGTCATGCCCCCTCTGTCCTGCAGATCGGGACTAACACCTCGTGCGACGAAATACGCAACCAGAGCGGTATGGCCGAATTGCGCTGCCAGATGAATACAGGAACAACCTTCCGCATCTCTAAGAGTAGGATCGGCGCCAGCATTCATTAACAACACGACTGCATCTAAGTGTCCCTGTCTCGTAGCCCAATGCAAGGGAGTCGCGTCTAATTCCCCACCGACAGCGTCTACCTCTGAACCGTTATCGATAAAAAATCGCATGATTTCCTTTCGGTTGTTTATTGCTGCCCAATGCAGAAGAGTAACCGTTTCGCTATCTCTCTGGTTAACGTTATAACCCGCATCGATTAAGTCCTTAACACGTTGGTAGGCTCCGTACTAGAAATACAGTGTAAAAAAAATGTATCCAGACCAAGTTCCAATTTACTTGTGTAGCTTTAACTATATCAAAGCCACTATAATCGTGCTCCGCAGGTACGATAGGTTCCTTCGATATTAAGCTGTGGCATTCGCGATCGGCTTCCACACATCCACCGGCAGACGCGGCCGCCGCTCCGCAAGCGTTTTGATACATAATTCTTAGATTACGAAGTTCGGTTTATGAGATGTACATTTGATTTTCACATGGCCTCTTCGAGTATATTAGGAACATGATGAATGCCAAGCGCAAGAAAAATGGCAAGTACATGCAGATCTTTTAATTCTCACTTAAGTACTCTAGTTTTTTGTAGATAAATATTAAGAGGCTCTCTCCTCTAGACGAAACACTTCAGGGGCCGATCCTAAATAGCGGAAAGGCGCAAGGTGCGCAACTTTGTGATTGGATGACGATCCGCCATACTCGATTTACTCACTTTCGATTTTCAACAGTCTAGAAAGATAACAATCTAGACTGTAATTTTCAATTTAGAGCATTCAGCGCATTCTGTTGAGCTATCTGTAAAACACGAATCAGATGTGCTCCGTAAATATGCGCATGCGCGCGTCATCCGCTGCGATTTGAAATGTCATGCGCATTTCGGATTATTCCAGTAAAGGCAAACATAACCTAAAAATTTCTCATTAGTTTTAGTTTCGCGCCTGAATTTTGTAAAAGCTTGTGCATTTGAAAACTAATCCGATAAACATGAATACAAATAAAAGAAAAGACGGTCATGGTACCAGCCCAAATAAAAAGTTCAAGTAAATTGTGAATAACATTCAACATTTAACCTAAAAGGCTTTATTTTCAGAACGGAACGTATCTCACGACCCTCGCTGCAACTCGACTCAAATTCGTCATTAACATTTCAGCAGCTCGAACTGGACCATTATATTAATAAAGCGCCTTACCCAAATATGCCAGGTGCTCAGACGGGTTCAGTGCCTGTTATGCGTATGTTTGGAGTTACGGCGGAAGGCTACAGCGTGTGTTGTCACGTTCACGGATTTTCACCTTACTTCTATGTCCTATTACCGTCAGATTTTACAGATGTTCTCGAATTTAAGGTAGGTACCTCGATTCGAGGGGGAAACCACTTATTAAAAATTGACGCATTACCTATTTGATTTGTAATGTTATACCTAATGCAATCACTTCATTATATAGCATAATTTAGTTGTCCTGCACAGCTTCCTATTTTGGGGCGAAATTGATTGTTTTGTTTTGACATTTCATAACCTACTACACAAGCTAAATACCATTCTTATCAAATAATAAGAGTTTGAATGCATGTAATGGCATTTTCCATCGACAGAAATGTGTACTATTGGTCTGGTACCAAGGATTTGTAGGACCATTTATTTATCACCGTACTTTAACATAAGAGCACTACTTACATTTAGGTACCTCAAAACGATTTAGAAGATGCTTTTGATAACATGCCTCTAGCAATAGTTCGCAACTGTTGGATGCACCAGGATGGTGCACCTGCACATAATTCTACAGCCGTTCGATAATATCTTTCAATGAGATTTCCAGAAAACGTAATTCATTGGCCAGCATGTTAACCTGATATCTTCACTTGTTTTCTTCATGTGGGGGTTCATTAAGAATCAACCAAATTTTGAAGAGGAACTGAGGGGGTTAGTTTTGAAAGCATTTGCTAGCATTACTCTAGAAATGCTGACTAGGATATTGCAATCTCTTGTTTAGAAAAGAATGGTCATCTCTTGTAAAAGATAAATAATTTTCGAAATGAATTTTGAGCTTCTGGGGATCAGCTCTGCATGGCTGGAAACTAATTTGTGACATAATTTTGGTTTCGAGAAATCAAGGGTGCCTTTGAAATTTTTAAAAAACTTTTTTGTATACCAGTAAAAGCTTCAAATTTGCTACACGATCTATTTTGACAGTTTTGTAACATTTTTTCGGATTCCTTAAAAAAATTTCTGTTAAAAAAAAATTAATGTTGGACTTTTGGAAATTTGCAAGTGTACTCAGTTTTGTATTCTGAACAAGTTTTCTTAATAACATTTGTGTGTATCTCGTCCCCAAAAAGCACTTCTGGTATGCAAAAAAGTTTCTTGATTTTTCGAAACTAAAATTGTCATAAATTAGTTTAAAACCAAGCACAGCTGATCCCCAGAAGCTCAAAGTCAAAGAAGTAGCTAGTAACCTATTATTTGAAATGACAACCCCTATTTTTTTATTGCATTTTTGGATTCTTTTTAGTAGTCGGACTTGATTGTAAACAAACAAAGGGTTCTTTAATATTGTAACGTAAGTTTAATTACGTGCTTTCTTTATTACAACCAATTAACAATAAATTTATGTCTTGAAATTGATTAAATTATAACAGTAAAAATATTATTTATAACAGCGCGTATTATTTATTACTTCGGCGTTGAAAGTGGAACTGAACTGAAACACAATTCATTTGCAAGCGCCTCCTCTTTCTCGAAAGATCTGGACCTCTTCCGAAGGCTTCCGACTATTCTAGAACAACCACGTCATATTTCTCGGAAAGATTACGCCACATCCGCCTTCATTTTTTATCGCCGATAACTAATCTTTCATGGCGCCGCGATGAATCAATGGCTTGTAGTGCATTTCTTATATGCCAATTTTCATCCTCTATCAAGTGCAATAGTAATCAATTTTCAAGGTACCGTCTGCATCCGCCATTTTTGTTAAAATTCAATATAACCCAAAAACCATGAATTGTAGATATCGACATGTGGGTATCAAAATAACTGAAATTTCACGTAGAATACAAAAATGCAATAAAAAAAATAGGAGTTGTCATTTAAAATAACGAAGTTGCTAGCTACTTCCGGTATTTCCGGAAGTGCAACAATTTTGAAAATATTTTACGTATAAATTATATAAACTGTTAATTGCTCCAGCTAATTATTTATTTAAAAAAATCTTTGTACAGCTAACTCGGACACAGTATCAAGTTCTTGAAAAAGATAAGTCATACATCAGGTTTTGATCATTCTGAGACACCAAGGACCGTTTGTATCACAATAGGGGTTTACAGTATAGTTGAATTCCGTAGTTCTAATTTAATCAGCGTATACTTGAAACCATAATAGTTATTTATGTATTAAGGGCATAATAGTGATGTTTATATCCTCGAGGGCGAGTTAAAAAGGCCCGAGAGCTTTTTAGTCGCCCGAGAGTATAAACATCAGTTTATGCCCGTGGTACATACACAATTTTATGTTTTACAACTAGTTTTCTTCGTCAAAATTTAATTAATTAATGTGATCGAAACCATCCAAACGTCAAACGTAATTTTAAATAATTCAATTCATCGTGAATGAGGAAGTAGTTCCAGAAACTATACGAAATAAGGCCAATCTTGTGATTTAGTAGATTTTGACAATTAATAATTGACGTTTCTAATTTTCAATGATCTGCAAATATTTGTTTGTTTTGTCATTTAGTATAAATGAGTTACTGTGGTGATACTTAATGCCCTAGGGCATAAAGTGATACTTTATGCCCGCGTATCACGGATATAAAATGTGCTAGGTTAGAAGGACAGTAAAAGTTTATTTAAAAATAATGGCTGATTAGAAAAAAAAATTGAACGTGCGGTATTAGGGATTTATTCAAAACGAGATGATTTTGGCGGGCTCTGTAACGTAATAAACCCGACCAATCAGCTGCTAGAACCATTCAGATGACATACAGGCTTGGCAATATTGCCAACATGCCTCTTAAAACGTCAAATCCGACAAACGTCAGACTCTTGCACAAGGTTGCCGGCTCACTTCTACGTGATTGGTTGTAGGTTTGTGACGTATATACACTGAAGCGTTTCAAACTCGGACTAAAAACACAGCTTTTCAATAATTTATTTTTGGTTTATTTTACTCGCAAATAAAAATTGAGGACACGTGGGTCTTTTTATTTTTAATGTACTTTGTAGATCAGAAATAAAAAATGAAGCCGGGAGGCCCCTATTGTCCAATGTCAGTTCAGTTGTTGGAGGATGAACTGGCTCTATTACGAACAACTTGTAACTTGGAGCAAAATGCGTACACATAATGCTTTGTAGTCCAAACATAATGTCTTAAATAAACGGTACATTGTAATGCCTTGTAATTCCAGAATGTTCAGGTAATGCAAAATGTGGTTTCCCCCCTCAATTCCCATTTGCCATTTGTCAATGACCTCGCAATTTTTAGAAAAAATTAAATTTGGCTGTGTTACTCGATGTAAAGGCGGTTCCTGAGAAAGTTTCGGAGGCCGTTTTGGCTGTAGAAATTAAACGCGGAAAGTCGTTATTAGAATTCAGTGGCCACGAAGACAGTAAATTTGCGAAGATTACTGTAGCGTTACCGAGATTCGTGGCTGTCGGCAAACGGCTGTTAGAAAATGGTGTTTATGGAAATAAGTCGTTTAGCTGTTTTGAGACTAACGTCGATATTGATTTAAGGTGTTATCCTAAGAAGTGTACTTAAAATTAATTTTACAAGTTTTTAGATTTATGATCGATACAAGTATTTTGGGTTGTTCGTGGATTCATTTACCTCCTGGGAAATGGTATGGGCGTGGTAAGGATTCCAAATGGCCAATAACGTCTCGGTGTCAAATCGAATGTGACGTGTCTTGGGAAGACTTCGTCGCCCATCCACCCGAAGGCGAGTGGGCTAAGGTTGCACCTTTCCGAATACATAGTTTTGATATCGAATGCGCCGGACGTAAAGGTATATTTCCCGAGCCTAATGTGGATCCCGTTATACAAATAGCAAATGTTGTCAAGTTGTACGGTTCTGATGACGTATTGACGCGAAATGTTTTCACATTAAATACATGCGCTCCAATTGGTCACGCTGAGGTATGGATACGACGGTTTAGAGCTCACCTACATTTTTTTTGTCTAGGTAAGGTGTTTCGACACTGAGCATCAGATGCTTGAGGCGTGGGCCGATTTCGTTAGAGAACTAGACCCGGACGTTTTCACCGGTTACAACATTAACAATTTTGATATACCTTATCTTTTGGATAGGGCAAAACATTTGAAGCTTAAAAAGTTTGATTTTTTGGGACGAATTTTGAGTATTCAGCAAGTGTCTCCACAAAGTTTAAGCGTGTTGTTTTACATTATGCTCTTTTAGGTCGAGCGTGAAAGAAACTGTGAACCAAACGAAATTTGGAAAACGTACTTTTAAGACTGTCAACTTTGAAGGAAGAGTTGCTTACGATATGCTGGTGGTGATGAAAAGGGATTTCAGGTTACGATCATACACTTTAAATAATGTGTCTAACGAATTACTGGGCGAACAGAAGGAAGACGTGCATTATAGTATCATTACTGATTTACAAAATGGCGATGAACAAACACGACGAAGGTAAATTTTCTGCTCGATTAGTGGCACCACCTAGGAGTGGGCTCAGCTTACTTTAGATGGTGCAGAATAACGTCAGGGATAATGTTGTTTGATTGAAATTTATGTAGCACACCAAATGTTTTATAATTTATTCCTTATTTATTGCTAATTTGCAACATTTTTTTGATATCTTGGTATTTGTTTTCATCTTTTAAATCAATTTTTACATTTTTGTTTGGAAACTGATATTTAAACAACGTGTGTGGGTTTATACTCACGTCATGTTGCAATATTAGAAAAGATATAAAAAAGGAAAATTGATTCGGCTTAAGAAAGGACCTATATCTTGAGTTTTTCTTGATTAATGGCGATCATATGCTGCTCTCTTCTCGCCCTCTCTTACTTAATACAGATCAAGTAACTATCCCAAAACATATTGGTCCACTCCGTGAAAATTTCTGACGTCGCTATTGCTATAGCGCGTTCGCACCTCCAGATTCAGATCTTATGGACTAATTGCCTCTCTTACTAGTTTGCGTCATTCTTCGATAATACTATCCTTGTTTCTAACCGCATTGATGTCAAATTGACATATGATTAAATTGATGTATTAAAACAAAACATAATCTCCTTGTGCTGTCATTGTCACGTTTGGCAACCATGTACTGTACGTCCATAAGGACCATATTGAATTTGGAGGTGCGAACGCGCTATAGTGTGAAAATTTTAAATTGTAGATTAGCCGTGTATTGTATAAAAGATGCAGACCTGCCTCTACGTTTATTGGATCACGTTAAAAGTTTCGCAAACGACATAGAAATGGCACGTGTTACCGGTGTCTCAATTACAAGTTTATTGACAAAAGGCGAACAAGTTAAAGTGGTCGCACAATTACTAAGACATGTCAGTAATTTTTCTGTGCAAAACCCGAAGTTTAACACATAGTTTTTTAGAGCCGGCAGTCCGGATATTTCATGCCGACGCACCATTACGCCCCCAGCACTGAACAATACGAGGGCGCAACAGTTATTGAACCTATTCGCGGCTATTACACGTATCCTATTGCAACATTGGATTTTAGTTCCCTGTACCCTAGCATTATGATAGCCCACAATTTGTGCTACACCACTCTCGTACGTCCTAATATGAAAGATAAACTAGGTCTTGCGCCCGACGAAATTACCGTTACTCCATCGCAGAATATATTCGTGAAGTCTTCAGTTAGACAAGGTTTACTACCTGAAATTTTGCAACAACTGTTAGCGGCACGTAAGCGTGCTAAAACTGCACTAAAAGACGAAAAGGATCCAGTGATGCAAGCGGTCTTAAATGGACGTCAATTGGCACTGAAAATTTCTGCAAATTCCGTATACGGATTTACTGGAGCTCAAGTTGGTAAATTGCCCTGCTTAGAAATCTCAGGGGTAAGTGATGTAAACTTTCGTTTTTAATTTTTCTTAGTTGCATAGAAACCTCCCTTTTAGTTTAAGGAGAATTGGGGTGTATTTAACAGGATTCCGGTGTAGCTAACTGTTCTTCCGGTCTCTTTGTATATCGGGCCGGATATAGGATGTCCGATGCGGCTTTCACAACCGCTAGGTAACAATACTAGTTCCGTTTCCCTAGTCAACACAAGGCCGCTTGACATGGAGCAATACAACGCGCAAGAACTTGCAGAAAGAAATTGCAAGGTCAAATCCTTGCATGCAATAAGCATTGCATGGTATTTGACATGGTGCAATTCTATTTCAATTGCCACATGTCTGCCAACAGAAGAAAAATATGGACTTGTCAACAAAGTTGCTAACCTCCAATAAAAATTAAATTTTGATTGCTTGAAGAAACATGAAAATTACAAGAATAAATACGATTAATAAAAACAAGTAATGAGTGCGTCTCTCAGCATCATAGTTGCCGCCGCTGTATTTTACTAGGTTGGTGACATAAAAACAACTAGATTTATCCCTAGAATTGCACGATTCATGCAAGAAAAATAGCACCGGTCCTATAAAAATTGCATGCAAGTCTCTTGCAGCAATTGATCAACTGGCTTTGAACTGCGCATGCCTTTCGCAATTTTTCTTGCAACTTGCATGCAATTGCAATTTTTATTGCTCCATGTCAAGCGGGCTAATAAATTCTGTTCAGTTGTGATATACAGTGTGTCCCAGATCGCGTGGGATTGCATGGGTAACTTTGTTATTATTAAAGATAGAGAATTGGTTAAATGGGCAATGTTTTGCAGTTTTGGATGCTTATTTAAAATTTCCTTATGGAAATTCAAAATGGCGCATAGGTTCGACGTAAATTCAAAAAAACTAAAATTGGTCATTTCCTTGAATGTCTTGTATCATCGAATGTATAAGAGATATAAAAAAAGTTTTATATAAAAGTGACTGTTTTTTTTGATACGCTTAATTTAGAATTGATGTAAAAAAAAATTTAAGATGGCAACTTTTGAGGAACATTTACTAACTCCCTAAAGTTAAATGGGCGCCATATTGGGTTTTTAGATTACTTGAGAGATTTTTTAATTCTCTTTTCAACGTGCTATTATATCATAAGATTGAAAATAAGATACCAGTTATATTAACGGTTTTTGTATTTTAATCAAGTAGTCTGTGACGAATAAAAAAAACAAAACAAAATCTATTTAAGTTTAGGAAGTTGGTAAATGTTCCTCAAAAGTAGCCATCTTGAATTTTTTTTACATCAATTCTAAAGCGTATCAAAGACAGCCACTTTTATATAAAACTTTTTTTTATATTTCTTATACTTTCGATGATATAAGACATTCAAGGAAATGACCAATTTTAGTTTTTTTGAATTTACGTCCAACCTATGCGACATTTTGAATTTCCATAAAGAAATTTTAAATAAGCATCCAAAACTGCAAAACATTGCCCATTTAACCAATTCGCTATCTTTAATAATAACAAAGTTACCCATGCAATCCCACGCGATCTGGGGCACACTGTATATTTTGTACCAAAGACAGTACTGCACACTAGATAAACGCGGTGACTTGCATGGCCATGGGATTGCTAAATCCTAAATCTTCCGCCCTAATTATTTTAGAGGCAAAGATAAAAAATTACAAATTTCAATTTTTAGCGCATTTTTGCAAATTTATTTGTAAAAAGTAGCTTTTAATCTCACTTTGGCTGGCTGGCTGGCTGCTGGCTGGCTGGCTGGCTGGCTGGCTGGCTGGCAGCAAATGTGGGCGCGTAGAAGAACTCTTGTAGAAAGGCAACGGGTGTACGTGTATCTACAGGGCCGTGAAATTTGCCAACCTTAGGGACATGGCTAAATGATGTGGGGTTGGCGACATCTGGCCGTCATCCTCGAGCGTAGTATACTAACGTGAAGGTTTTTCAGTTTTTTCCTATCTTCTACTACAGTTTTGGTCCGATTCTTTTGAAATTGGTGTCGTCGG